TGGTCCATAGATATAAAATCAAATAATGGTTGCGCCTTACAGTTTAATTTCTTTCCAGTGGAAAACCTTGCTATTTTGGTGACAGTTTTAGCACCAAATTTGGGGTCATTAATTGACCATGTTTTGCTTGTGTCCCACCGTTGCTCCCTGGGACACTTGCACCACACACAAGCATAATCGTCATTTGCCCTGCCTAAACCACATACCAGTGCTAACAATTTCAAATCTCCATCTAAAAAGTATTCAATTTTATAGGTGCAATTATTTGCACTCATCTCCTTTAAGTTTGACATTTCCATTTGAAGGTCTGCTAGACTGTCTCTCAGATTATCATATGTCTCTGTAGTTTTTATAACAGCAAGTATATAATTTCCCTTCACACCCATTGCCACATCCTTTTCATGGAGAATAGTAAAAGTGAAGTTGACAACTGTAAGCCCCTTTCCAATATTTGTAGCATCACCACTAAGCTTGATCTTAATAGTTTCTCCATCATTGATTTCTCCATTCTTCTGAAGCCTAACAATGTGCTCTTGCAAGCTTTCTGCAAATCCTGACTGAACACCTTCATCATCTCCTGGTGTTGGTTTCAAGTTCCATTTACTGTTTAGCTCATTAATTTGCTTCTTGATGGAATATATATTGAAGAGATCATTAGCCTTAATGGCAATTTCATGCCAGGCCTCATTTGAAATAATGAATTTATCTTTAAGGTAGAGCCACATATTTATGTTATCAATGTCATCATTATTAAGGGCCTTTGGGTCAGACTCTGTAAATGGCAGCTCTCCCTCTCCAACAAGATTGAAAGTTTCATATTGATTATTCTCAGTGTTGAGGACTTCAATTTTGGTTGCAACAAAACTGTACAGCCCAAGAAAGGAGAGTGTAGTTTGGCAACTACTACTCTTTTGATGGTGCTTGGAATAGTCATTAAACTTCTTCTTAGCTAAGCCTCTACCTTTTTTGTAAAAAATTTGGTTTTACACAATATGTCGTTTATTTGCGCATTTAGGATTCTTTAACCTGAGAGGAATGTATTGGGACCAAAAAAAAAGGGAAAAGTTTGGCGTTAGTTACCCTTTAAGCAACTCGCGCCGGATTTGCGGGAAAAGATATTGATATATTAAGCAGGAAACAAGATGTGTTAACAGCGAAGAAACTTCCTTTATAACCGACTTTCGACTTTAAAATGATCAGCACGACAAACTTCGCGTTTGGGGAAATTGTTGAAGAATTTAACCAATGTCACTTGGAGAAAATTCAACTCAAATTAAGCAAGATTACCGCTAGTGGGTATCTTCCTTTGTTGTGTTCTAGCTAAAGAACGAAAACCGTTTTGTTAATTTTAACAACAGAAAACAACAGTCCGACCCTCGTCTATTGTATATGGTAACTTTTAGTGATCTCTAAGGTAGAAAAGAATATAAATTATGCGTGAAAACAGAACGACGCTGCGCGCGTCATAAATAGGTTAAAACTTTACGGAGGCACCTTAAAAGTTACATAACCTTATGCAATATTACCTCATGCAATATTATGGAAAAATGGAAAAATCCACCCGCGACAGTTTGCGCGTTACATAACAAGGTAGGGTCAAGGTCATTCTAACATTTCGTTATACAATATTACATTATGCAAGGTAGAATTACGTAACATTCGGTGGCATCTGGCAAAGTTTGTAAGAAATTCTCCGCCCTAAATAAGGGGTTCACTTGAGATCATTTTAATAAGTTTTAAAAATAACTGACAGTGGTAACTCGCCGGAAGGGCTTAAAAATGAGGGAAAACGCACGCGGGCGTTGAAGGCTTTCTTAGTTCGTTTCTTTCCTTTTTTAACTCTTTATTGAATTTAATGTTAAAACTGTCAACGATAGAAAACAATTGTGAGAAAGAAGAGGGAAATCTTCCTCAAAAGTGTGTTAAATAAGCGACAATCGCTTATGTCACAATTTGATTATCTCTTTTAGGCAGATAATTATCGAAATCTTTCGATACCTGGAGCAACTTAAGTCTATAGTTACATAACTGACTAGCCTTAAAAATTAATCTGCCAGTCTTGCAGGCCAGAACTGTGGAATCGCTCGGTTCCATCGAGTTCCATTTCGAAAAAAGAAAAAAAACAGTCTGTAATACTTCTTTAATTACATTATTAACTGATGTTAGGTATATTTAGGGTCTGTTTATGCCATATTGAACCTTCGTGCTTTGCTAGGTGGTCATGAAACCAGGTCACGTACAAAGTTCTTATTTCCGGCAAAAGTAATTCATAGGGCCAAAATGGGCGGACGGTCAAGCTTAAAAGATCACACGAACTGTCGGAACAGGGTATAACTCTGTGTACACGTTATCCGGCGCGTGAGACATATAATTGATCATTGTCTTTTTGGGTTGAGTGGCACTGTATAAATTTGGCAAACCAGGGAGGCTCGCCATCAGTTTGGTACAGTTGCAGGACATAACTCTTAGGCGGTAACAGTGCTCGTTGCTCGACTTTGTGAAGCAGATTTTAAGATGTCTCATTCAAAATATGTAAGTGAATTGCAGTTTACATGGCTAACAGAATAGGCGGGTTAAGTGCCTCTCCAGAAAATCTTTTTCTCCTGACGGTTTTTGATAATGTTCTTACAATATTCAGGTTTTAGCTGATACCATGAAGATGACATGGCTTATGGAGGGCTGTGTAAATGGTCATGCGTTCACCATCGAAGGAGAAGGCACCGGCAAACCTTACGAGTAAGTTTATGTCAAATAACGATCAACCTGTAAATTGTCCTTTTGCGTGGATGCATTGCTGATCTAACCAAAGCAAATTTGGTTATTTCAGTTATGTTTCCTGCGGCCGTTTGTGCCATCTGCTTATGGCTGTCTTGGAAAAAGGAGTTTATAAATCTAAGCTTCATATAGTAACTCGTCCAGAAGTCATTGTACGCAAGTCACTTATGTGATGAAAACGCACCAAAATAGTCATATGCTGGTGATTTCATTAATGAAAGAATACTATGTCGAAAATCCTATCCATCTGAATATTTCAGAGGCAAACAAACGGGGACATTCCGTGTTACAAAGGGTGGACCCCTTCCATTTGCCGTTGACATAGTGGCACCGACCTTGAAGTATGGATTCAAATGTTTTATGAAGTATCCTGCTGGTATTCCTGACTATTTTAAGCAAGCATTTCCCGAGGGTCTAACATACGACAGGAAATTAACATTTGAAGATGGAGGGAGTGCCACGGCCACCGTGGAAATGAGGTGAGTAATTACTTACTATTTAACTGTTAATCAGCTTTTTTAACTTGCAGATTGGACAAAGATCTTTGAGTTATCGAAAACAACAACACTACACAAAAACAACAACACTACACAAAGATTTGGGCTCGATGTGAAAAAGTGAAAATTCACGACGGATTTCCATGACGAATATCATCATGGAAGCATCAAAAGTGCAGTAATACGGCAAACCGATTGCTTTTCAAAAATTAATCAGACAACACTCAGTTTGTACAAATTGACCTAACTTTTTTACATTCGTTACTTTCTTCCTTTTAGGCTAATTTTTCTTTCAACATAGTAATCTAACCTGTTGATTTAGAGGTTTTTATTCCATTGAAATATTTTTACCTCGTAAGGTGGATTCAAAATGTATGTTTTATTCATTTTGCGTTCTGAAATGCTTCCTACTTTGACAGCCTCAAAGGCAACACTCTTGTTCACAAGACCAATTTCCAAGGAGGCAACTTTCCCATCGACGGGCCTGTCATGCAAAACAAGACGCTTGGCTGGGAACCAACCTCGGAGAAAATGACTCCTTGTAATGGAACAATCAAGGGAGATACTATCATGTACCTTTTGGTCGAAGGAGGGAAAATGCTGAAATGTCGATATGAAAACAACTACAGGTAATTACGTTGGCTTCGACTGCTGTGTACAGACTTGTATCTGACTTGATCTTAATGGGTTTCCCTCCCTAGTCCCCAAAAAGGCACCAACTGTTATGTAACTTTGCAGTATAAATTCAGTACATTGTTATGAAATTACGTACTAAGAAGCGGCCAACATAACTCATATATTCAGAAGCAGTGCACCCGACAGTTTAGAGTCACCTCCGAGGTTTGCACGTTTCTTCATTTGTCAAATTCACTTAAATTTCCGAATTTTGTGATCATAACTTTTCAACAGCATCGGATTACAAAACTGCAAAGCTGGATAAAGGTCCATTTGTGGACATTTCTCTGAAATTATTCTGATCGCTTACGATCATAATTACAACTCGAACGCGCTGTTTGGAAACTGTCTTCATCTTTGTGGTTACCAGGGCGTCGGAGTAGATGACTCAATATCTATACTTCCTATTTCAGCGAGAAATCACGGAGCATTCTTGATTTTTTTTTCCTCCAGGGCCAAGAAAGTGATACACGAGATGCCACCGAGCCATTTTGTGGATCTTCGCCTTGTAAAAACCAACCTTGATAAGGAAGGTTTGAAGTTTCAACTGGAAGAACATGCCGTGGCAAGAGTCCTCGAGGTTTGAGGATTACCGGGTTTGTCAGTATCAGTACGAGTCCCTCTTGTATAAAAACATGAGATGAATAAAGAAGAGCGTTTTCAACCTCAATTGTTCGTCTGTTTTACATGTCTTTAAACTTTCGATTGATTATGAGGAGTTATGAAAGGAAACGAACCAAACCCCTGCTTTTATTATTCGTTGCTTGCAGAGTGTGCGTAAAGTTCGCTTCACAGTTGTCAAGGCCCAAATTTTTCCTACATTGACCTATGATGATTACGTAATTTCGATTTCAACTTTATCATGAATCATTCAAATCTGAAAGAAGATATTTGAGAATTGGTGTCAAAAAGAAAATTGCAGCTCAGCTATCCCAGAAAACACTTCACATTTCGACCTCCAAACACTTTCCTAAGAAAAAATAATGTGAGTTCAAGAAACTTAAAACTTCCTACACGTAAACACTAAATTGATTCATGTAGTTTTCCATGAATATACTCTTCCCTTACTGGACCTATTGAGCGAGATTACCTCCATTATCGAACCAAGATTCGTATCACCTCAATAAAGTCAATTCGCAAATTCCTTGCTTTGGCCGATAGGATTTTAAAATTTCGAGCAAGAGAAAGATTTCGAGTATGAAATAGAGGATATTACATGGCCGCACAGAGATAAAGAAGTTTGTCTTCCAGTCTTTCAAAATATTGCACGAGTATGCGAACATGTTTTCTCGAACTCATTAATAATGCGTAAGGCCTCATTTGATTCACATAGATACTCCTTGATACTCGGTAAAGAACAGATCCAAACACGCGTGATTAGATATCCAAACACACGTTAGGATATCCAAACACGTGTGCTTGGAAATCAATTTCCAAAAGAATGCAGTCCTTGAACAAATGTTTATTGACTTCCAGGATAAGAATAATCATTCTTTGCAGTTGACATTAACGTTTACATTGCAATTCAAGAACATTCCAGAATTCAGCTGATCTAACATTCCACGCACACTGCTTTCACCTTCTAAAAGTTCACTGCTAGTACTCGTGGTTTCCGTAACGCTACTAGAAGTGCAAGGTCCAAGTAGTTTAGACACTTTAAGATAGTGTCTCTGTAAGAGCGGTCCGGTCGATTTTGCTTGAGACACGGATTTCGCTCATTTCTTGTGTGTTATAAGACATTCATGTACCTATACTAAAACCACAATCCGTTTGATCGGATCTCTGTATTTTTCACAGTTTTATGGAAATTAAATTTCACTCGAGAGAGGCTTGTCGTGACACTTTTCAAGACTTTAATTTAAGACAACTTTGGAGGAAAATTTACAAAAAACTACGGAACTCTTAAAGAAACAAATACCACAGCCATGTATATTAACTCTATCTTATCTATCGAGGCGACTTTCGTGAACATCACGTTTCAGCCAAGCAAACAGGAAGACTTGAATGACACCTTTGACACCTTATCTGTTCGCTTAAGTCACACACGCGAAAACCGATCAGATTCAAGGTAAATTTTTGAAAAAGCGAGGCGTTCTTAACTGATCCAACTAGCATAGCTAGAAAGTAGGTGCCATAAAAAAGGTAATTACGGAAAAAAAAACTGTGCGGCCCAACTCTACGAAAACTTTATATCTCCGTGAACTTACCTAATTTTCGGCAATCTCCAAGTTTGGCTGCCATTTTGAGGGACTTGTAAACATGAAGCGTAGCCGATATAAATCAAGCAGGTAGATCTAAAACCGTCAGAAATACATTCAAATGAACTTTACTTTCAATTCAAGCGCAAAATTTGAAATTGTTCGTTAAACTTACCATTCCTACATTCCCATGCGACCATTTCTTCCAACAATTCAAACACTACAACTGGTGTTCGAGTTCCCCTCGTCGATTCCACCGTAAGAAATAACCTGTGCCACTCAAGCTTCGACTCGAATGTTAAGTACGAATCAAATTACATAACTGCTTCATATTCGAGGCAATATCACGCTGGTATTTTGATTTTCGGATCGACAAGAACGATGATTAGGAAGCGATCGCCACATCATAAACCATGGTGACCTTTGACAAGCCGCTGAGTGAAAACAGTATGGCACGGGGTGGGGTGGGTAGCGGGCCTATCGTCATAAGATACTCGAATACATGCTTAAAAAGCTTTAGGAATCCCATTCTAAACAGTGAAGGCATGCTTCGTGGTATAGACAACTTTTATTTCATTCTCATAACTTTCTCCTTTAAATTACAACAAGTCTCTGTAAGCATCAAATATTTTTGGAAATAAAACATATCAAACTCTTTCCCCAGCGCGACGAACATTTGTTTTTCTCGGTTCCAGGTGTACGTGACCACTAACCCTAAGTAATGCGCATGCTCTCCGTTGCGAATTTTCAAAATGGCGGACAGGTCAAAGAGGGAAATAAAGAAGCAAAGCGATTTTACAATAAGTACTTAACATACACCCCCGTTAGAAAGGCGAATCCACGATAGAAAGATACAAAACTGTATGATATTGAGATCAGGGAGGTTGTCAAAATCAACAAGAGAGGTTGAAAATTCATTACGTTGGCTATAGCACATGCTTCGATGGATGGACACCCTTCAGGGCCGATAGAGGATCTGGATATTTTCCGTTTGTTCGCAGCGAAAAGCTGTTCATTCCCTCGGAAAACTCTCTAGAGGATAGAAAAGAATCGTTCCATGGCCAACTTGTTCGTGAAATAAAGAAAAAGCTTTGGTCTGGACGGCGAGAGGACCCTGATATAAACATAGACCTTAATGTTGACCAATATATTTTCATGGAAGGTCTTGGGAGTGTTTTGCCCGGCGTTCTTCAAAGAGGGAAGATGGTTTACCAGTTGGAGTCAAATAGGGTGCCTGATTCATATCTGGGGCTGAAGTGGGATGAAAGAATTTTAAATGTAGCTGGAGATTTTTCCTATGTAATTCCAGGAACTATTAAGTATTGGCTGGGACAAAGAAGTCCAATCATTGAATACAAGCTCATCATTGTAGGTGTTCTTAACCCTTTCATAACCTGCTGCCTCCAGGAACTGAATCCTGTTTTTCTTCAGAAACAGTTGTTTGAGGGCATCAACCCCTTTGTGATTTGGGGATCTGAAGAAATCTTTAGAAGCTCTACTATTGTATTTTTCCAAGCCTTGCTGTGTGTAATATGCTATGTTCTGATAAAGTTACAGGAACTCAGGAACATGATAACATAGTGCATGCATGTAGGGAGTGACATCTTTGAAAGTGTTCAAACCATGATTTGATATTTCTTTGCAGTTCAAGAATACCCTCTTCAGATGTAAAATCTAGCTTCAAATCACCAATTATGTCCATAAATTTAGCCCAGATCACTTGTATGTCTTTGTTTTGACTGCAATGAGGGACAAGCATAGGTTGGAATGTTTATATTCTGGAAGAGTTTCAACTTTTCTGGTTCAGTAAGATCTCTATATTCCAGCTTTTTGCTCTCTTTGTTGATTCTAAAATTAAAAGTGATTCCCATACTTTTGATAAATTCTTCATAACATGCCATGTGTTCATATTGATCCCTTGGGAATCCATCAGAGGTTTTTTTTCTCAATAGCATCACTTCTTCTCAGCTCTCTTATGAAAAAGTCAATCAAAACATCTGAAATCCTCAGAAAAAAAATGTAATGTTTCTATGATGACATGGTCCATAGATACAAAATCAAATAATGGTTGCGCCTTACAGTTTAATTTCTTTCCAGTGGAAAACCTTGCTATTTTGGTGACAGTTTTAGCACCAAATTTGGGGTCATTAATTGACCATGTTTTGCTTGTGTCCCACCGTTGCTTCCTGGGACACTTGCACCACACACAAGCATAATCGTCATTTGCCCTGCCTAAACCACATACCAGTGCTAACAATTTCAAATCTCCATCTAAAAAGTATTCAATTTTATAGGTGCAATTATTTGCACTCATCTCCTTTAAGTTTGACATTTCCATTTGAAGGTCTGCTAGGCTGTCTCTCAGATTATCATATGTCTCTGTAGTTTTTATAACAGCAAGTATTTAATTTCCCTTCACACCCATTGCCACATCCTTTTCATGGAGAATAGTAGAAGTGAAGTCGACAACTGTAAGCCCCTTTCTAATATTTGTAGCATCACCACTAAGCTTGATCTTAATAGTTTCTCCATCATTGATTTCCCCATTCTTCTGTAGCTTAACAATGTGCTCTTGCAAGCTTTCTGCAAATCCTGACTGAACAACTTCAGCATCTCCTGGTGTTGGTTTCAAGTTCCATTTACTGTTTAGCTCATTAATCTGCTTCTTGATGGAATATATATTGGGGAGATCATTAGCCTTAATGGCAATTTCATGCCAGGCCTCATTTGAAATAATGAATTTATCTTTAAGGTAGAGACACATATTTATGTTATCAATATCATCATTATTAAGGCCCTTTGGATCAGACTCTGTAAATGGCAGCTCTCCCTCTCCAACAAGATTGAAAGTTTCATATTGATTAGTCTCAGTGTTGTGGACTTCAATTTTGGTTGCAACAAAACTGTACAGCCCAAGAAAGGAGAGTGTGGTTTGGCAACTACTACTCTTTTGATGGTGCTTGGAATAGTCATTAAACGTCTTCTTAGCTGGGCCTCTACCTTTTTTTTCCCATTTGTAATCACTTTTTGGCCAACTGAATAAATTTGTTATTTTAGAAGGCCCCTTTCTTCTCAGCTTTCTCGAGAGCTTCTCGGGATTTTTTATCCACTCGCAATCGCTTTGCCTTCTCCTGTACCAACGATTCTTCTAATTTTATTTTTTCTCCCCTCAACTGGCTGTTCTCATCTTTAAGCTGATGTACATCAACCTCGTTGTAATACACCTTAAATCGATACCGAGGGCCCGTTTCCAAATTGCTAAGAAGTGCAATTAATTGCCACGATTACTAGCTTTCTTGACAGCGAAAATGGCTGGGTGGTAATAAAAAAATTAAGAACGATCCGTGATTTTCTCGTGGAAATGAGATGTGTAGTTATTGAGTCTTCAACTTATGTTCTAAGCCTAGGTAACAATTTCTTAACAGTGCGTTCGAGCTGAAATCATGATTGTAAGCGATCAAAATAAAATCTGAGAAGTGTCCACAACTGAAGCTTTATCAAGCTTGGCAATTATGTAATTCGATGCTATTGAAAAGTAATGATCACAAAATTCGGAAATTTTTAGCGAATTTAGGCCAATGAAAGAACGAGCAAATCTCGGAGGCGACTTTCAACATTCGAATACACTGCTTCTAAATATATTTCGCCAACCCATAGTTTGTCCTTCAACGATGCATGTGTCACCCAACAGTCATTTTCTCATTTAGTTCAGACAATATTTCGATCGACTCTTTCGTCGATAGGTAGCGTTTCAACCTCAGGAATGAAATTCATATTTCTATGGAATAGTGAGAATTTCCTATCACTGTCAACACCTTCAAGAAGTTAAGTTCGCCGCTTCTTATTACGTAATTTCATAACAATGGACTGAATTTATACTACAAAGTTACATAACAGTTGGTGACTTTTTAGGGACTCGGGAGGGAAACGCATTAAGATTAAGTCAGATACATGTCTGTACACAGCAGTCGAAGCCAACGTAATTACCTGTAATTGTTTTTATATCGACAATTCAGCAATTTCCCTCCTTCAACCATCAGGTACATGATAGTGTCTTCCCTAATTATTCCTTCACAGGGTGTCATTTTCTCCGAGGTTGGTTCCCAGCCATGCGTCCTGTTTTGCATGACAGGCCCGTCGATGGGAAAGTTGCCTCTTTGAAAATTGGTTTTGTGCACGAGAGTGTTGCCTCTGAGTAAAACACATTTCAGAACGCAACATGAGTAAAACATAAATGAGCAGCTGTGTAAGAAATTTTTTATTCTACCCACAGGCAGCCCAAGCTGTGATAAGATCATCTTGCGCAATAACAGTCATGGCGGAATTATAAGAGTTTGTATGGGAATATGTACGACCGCTCTAAGGACTGAACAAATACGTCAATTTCTCAATAAAAATACCTCACCTTACTTCCACAGCGTATCGCCTGTTATCTGACCGCTTACTTTGATGAAAAAAACCCATTTTGGCGAGTTGTCCATTTCGGGGTTTTCCACGTACATAAGAAAAGCCCTTACGTACATAAAAAGAAAGGGAGACAGACGAGTGACAATCCTTGTAATTATTTTTCGAACCGCTACCTTTGTGGGTGATATTCAACGTTTCAATGAATTGGCAAGTTAAGGCCGAAATCGTTTACAAGGCGGAGTTTTACGATTACATGGTTTAGTGTAACGATAAGGTTTGAAAACTTGATTGATCGAAAAAAGAGTAATCACTGAGTTGCAATTCGCTTACTTGCTTTGAATGAGACATCTTGAGATCCCCTTTACAACCATAGACGTTACCCTTGGCTAAGCGGGAAGAGCATTTACGCGGCTATGAAATGCAGTGTCCTGAGACTACAAATGACCCACTTTGACACTTTCCTGAATTCTGTTTTGTCTTGTGCTATCTAATGCTCGACTTAAAGAAACCAAAACCACTTAAATGCACCACTACGTGCACCAGTTTGGAGGATTCAACCCTAAAAAAATTTACCCGTTTCCGCCCCGCATTATGTAACCATAAGGCAAATTATACAACTACGTGATGTATCTGTCGAAGCTGGAGTTGAACAAGTCTGCTACGTGAATAATGTTTTGATAAGAACGCCTCATCGTACTGCAAAATAAAGGGATTTTTGTCTTTACAAGTATACTACAGGTATGTCTAATAGACAAAAATAAAAACGCCTTATCATACGGCAAAATAAAGGATATTTGTCTGTACAAGTATAATACAGGTATGTCTAATAGACAATTTCAAAAAGGTGCGTGACGGATTTTCGTTAATTGTACCGCTGCGATCCAGTTTCTAAAAAAGATTCTTTATTTATCTCTTGTCTAGACTTTGCATGATATTGCTGTTACTGTTTGGTAAATTCCATTTCGGTCTTTCAATTTGGTTGCTGTTTTTCTCCGATCTATCATCAAGGTTCTTCTGAATACTCCGTAAATTTCACTTTTACGCTAAAAATACTAGGATTACTTTTAAAAAGGTTTTTATTCCTAAAATTTTTTTAGGAAATAAACAGAAAGTTACAACAGCAAAAAGTCTTTGTGCTATTCACCAGTCTCCGTAAAAAAAATAAAAAAGAATAATTCTTGGACATTTCCGGAACGTGAAAGAAGAGTTTCGTTCACGAAACCAGATGGCGACCTCCCATAATCCGCGACAGTACTTAGCGCTTAGTCACGCTCACTCCAGAACCGATGGGCCTGAGGTCACAATGATATACACCGGACAAAATCTAAAGTCCAACACTTTTCGGCATGGACTAAACATATCTTTATAAGTATATGATTCGATAATGGTTAGGAAGAACAAATTATGGGAATATATTTTTTTTACAGCTGTTTGGAATGGTGTGCAAATAACCTGCGACTCTGAATACAGAGAACCGATCCGTCGCCTTTCAATTATTCAACCTTCATTATTTAATTTCTCACTTCGTAGTTCATAGTCTCTAAATGGTGGCCTATGTCAGACTGGAAAAAAATTTTTTTTTCGCTGGTAAATTCCGGCAGCAGCCGAACAGGGAGGGCGAAATTGTTACGTTCAGGTCTTGACACGACGCTTTTCACTACCTTACACACGTGTGACGTATCACATCAAGTGACCTGGATTGAAACGTTTTCAAAATGGCCTTTAAGGATAGCAATCAAACAATCTTTATTGTACTCAGCAGGTAATTTAGTGTTGACAACTGAGTTGAAAACGTAAATTGGCCACCGTAAAGAGTAAAAAAAAGCTGACGTTTCGAGCGTCAGCCCCTCGTCAGAACGATTCTTTGTACTCACTCTTGATCAAAAAGATCATTCCAGACTCTTCTTGTATTATAAATGTATCTTTTATTAACTTGTGTGAAGAAAGTATCAAACACAGATGGCAGACGTCTATTGTGAAAGTTATACATAAAGACTGCGATATTACGAAAAACAAGGTCAGACAGTTTAACAATATTTAAGCATTTGAAAATTGGACTGGAATGCTCACGAAAGTCAACACTCGTATAGCTCTCTTTTGTGAAATGGAAAAAGGCTGGGTAGTTGAAGAAGAGGTGTAATTCCAAGAAATTAAACCATAGGTTAAGAAGGGATATATTAAAGCATAATATAGTTTAACCAGAATATCTGAATTCACATAATAACGAAGTTTAGAAAGATTCCCAATATTGCGCTTAATCTTTTCAGCATTGTGGCGTACTTGACTTTTCTAAGATAAATTAGAATATATTACAATACTTAGATATTTTTTCTGAGTACTCTTGGTTTAAGTTAATGCTATTTAAAGAGAGTATGATATGAAAGGGTAACTTTCTTCGTGGAGGGTGGAAAATGACAAAAGTCAACCAAGTATGAATATTTACTAGTTCATTGTTTACTTTGGATTCAAGGACTTTAAGATTTTTGCGTTTATAAAACAGATTGGCATCATCTGCATATAAATGAAAATCTAGAATTTCAGAGTAGTAACTAAAATCATTTACATCTACAAGAAATGATAGCGGGCCGAGAACTGAGCCTTGAGAAACACCACAAGAGACAGGATGAGGATCAGACTCAGTTTGCCCCAAGGAAACATATTGATATCTGTCGGTAAGATAGGAGATGAACCAATCCTTGGTAACACCACGAATGCCATAATAATCTAGTTTTTCAATCAAGATATTACGATTTACAGTATCAAAGGCTTTACTGAAATCCAAAAATATACTTCTAGAAAATTCCTGGCAGGATGCTTACGATAGCATGATCCGTGGAGCAAAACTTCTTACAATAAATTACTTTTTTCTTCTCCAAAAATTCAAAATTTTTTTATGCATCAACTTTTCTAACAGCTTGCTGAATAGATAGAGAATAGAAATGAGACGATAATTATTTAAACTTGTTTGCACGCCCTTTTTAACAACAGGGGTAACTTAAATAAATCAGGGACAATTCCAGTAGAAAAAGAAGCATTGACTATAACTTCTAGAGGTGCAGATATAACATGTTTGGTAGCTTTTAAAATAGCAACTGGTATGCTGTAAGGCCCAGTAGACTTATTAGCATTTAGCACAATAATTTCATTTTCAATTTCAACTGTTGTTGTGGGAAATAGAAAGAAACTGTCTTGAGATGGGGCTGTGAGATACCGAATGGAGCGTTTATTTACACGAGGAATATACTTTGTCAAATTATTTCCAATATTAGCAAAGAAATTATTAAAAGCATCAGCCATTGACTTAGAATCATTTAATTCAACATCCTCAACAGGTAATTTAGTGGGAGTAGAGCCAGATCTGGATTTAAGATTAACAAGTTGTCTTATCCCCTTCCATACTCTCTTGGAATCAGACTTGCTTACATGGAAATAATTATTATAATAATTGTTTTTACTTACTTTTAATAAGTGATGAATTTTATTTCTATAAATTTTGAATTTGCTGTGATAATATACAGATTTAGCTGAAATATACTTCTTGAAAAGTTTATTTTTTATGTTGATGAGACCCTTAAAGTGGTAGTTATCCATGGCTTAGATTTCATTCTTTATAAACGTTTAGAGAGTTGTATGAGAGGGATATGAACATCAATTATGCCTTTATGAGACTCTAGTGTAAAAGGAGTCAAACATTATATTAGGATCAGGATTAGCATGTAATACACCTTTCCCCGTTCGCTTTCCTTTTACTCGGAAGACGATAGCTCGTTGATGTATCCTCTTTTTTCAGGTCAACTCCTATCTTTCGACCGAGCTCCACTACAATTTCGTTCGTATCTTCCCGCGTGTCCCTAGAAATCTCTGGAATACCCCGGATTTCCATGCAGTCTCGTCTCGATTATTGTTCAAGTTCGTTAAATGATTCCTTTAAAACTTTTAACTGGCTTATAGGAGCTTACCCTTCAGACTCTTGTTCTCATTAACCAGTTCTGTCATTCCTTTTTAGTAGGGTGATATTTTTGTTAGTAGTTGGTAATAATTAAAGTTCGCAGTGGCGATAGACTTCTTCACTTCATCAATCGATCTGCGTAGAGGCTCTAAAGCCTCCTCCAACAAATTCTTGAATTCTTCTGTCGTTAGACCTCCCATAATGATACGTAGATGAATTAGGACAACATATAACGCGAAAAAAAGAGAAAAAAAGAGGAAAACGCAGCTTTGATAAGCTAAATTCACTGTAAATTTAACGATGCTCAAAAATGTGTCTTCGTGGATTTGTAGACACTCAGGATCAATTGTTCGTTCGAGGCTGGTTGCTTATTTGAGCATTACGTGTGAGCAAGAGTTTATAATTTCTCGATGAGAGCCGGCCATCGATTAAGCGTCAAATAAGATTTGTAGAAAATTTGGTTTTACACAATATGTCGTTTATTTGCGCATTTAGGATTCTCCAACCTAAGAGGAATGTATTGGGACCAGTAAAAAGGGAAAAGTTTGGCGTTAGTTACCCTTTAAGCAACTCGCGCCGGATTTGCGGGAAAAGATATTGATATATTAAGCAGGAAACAAGATGTGTTAACAGCGAAGAAACTTCCTTTGTAACCGACTTTCGACTTTAAAATGATCAGCACGACAAACTTCACGTTTGGGGAAATTGTTGAAGAATTTAACCAATGTCACTTGGAGAAAATTCAACTCAAATTAAGCAAGATTACCGCTAGTGGGTATCTTCCTTTGTTGTGTTCTAGCTAAAGAACGAAAACCGTTTTGTTAATTTTAACAACAGAAAACAACATTCCGACCCTCGTCTATTGTATATGGTAACTTTTAGTGACCTCTAAGGTAGAAAAGAATATAAATTCTGCGTGAAAACAGAACGACGCTGCGCGCGTCATAAATAGGTTAAAACTTTACGGAGGCACCTTAAAAGTTACATAACCTTATGCAATATTACCTCATGCAATATTATGGAAAAATGGAAAAATCCATCCGCGACAGTTTGCGCGTTACATAACAAGGTAGGGTCAAGGTCATTCTAAGATTTCGTTATACAATATTACATTATGCAAGGTAGAATTACGTAACATTCGGCGGCATCTGGCAAAGTTTGTAAGGAATTCTCCGCCCTACATAAGGGGTTCGCTTGAGATCATTTTAATAAGTTTTAAAAATAACTGACAGTGGTAACTCGCCGGAAACGCTTAAAAATGAGGGAAAACGCACGCAGGCGTTGAAGGCTTTCTTTATTGAATTTAATGTTAAAACTGTCAACGATAGAAAACAATTGTGAGAAAGAAAAGGGAACCCTTCCTCAAAAGCGTGTTAAATAAGCGACAATCGCTTATGTCACAATTTGATTATCTCTTTTAGGCAGATAATTATCGAAATCTTTCGATACCTAGGAGCAACTTAAGTCTATAGTTACATAACTGACTAGCCTTACAACTTCCTCTGCCAGTCTTGCAGGCCAGAACTGTGGAATCGCTCGGTTCCATCGAGTTCCATTTCGGAAAAAGAAAAAAAAACAGTCTGTAATACTTCTTTAATTACATTATTAACTGATGTTAGGTATATTTAGGGTCTGTTTATGCCATATTGAACCTTCGTGCTTTGCTAGGTCGTCATGAAACCAGGTCACGTACAACGTTCTTATTTCCGGCAAAAGTAATTCATAAGGCCAAAATGGGCGGACGGTCAAGCTTAAAAGATCACACGAACTGTCGGAAAAGGGTATAACTCTGTGTACACGTTATCCGGCGCGTGAGACATATAATTGATCATTGTCTTTTTGGGTTGAGTGGCACTGTATAAATTTGGCAAACCAGGGAGGCTCACCATCAGTTTGGTACAGTTGCAGGACATACCTCTTAGGCGGTAACAGTGCTCGTTGCTCGACTTTGCGAAGCAGATTTTAAGATGTCTCATTCAAAATATGTAAGTGAATTGCAGTTTACATGGCTAACAGAATAGGCGGGTTAAGTGCCTCTCCAGAAAATCTTTTTCTCCTGACGGTTTTTGATAATGTTCTTACAATATTCAGGTTTTAGCTGATACCATGAAGATGACATGGCTTATGGAGGGCTGTGTAAATGGTCATGCGTTCACCATCGAAGGAGAAGGCACCGGCAAACCTTACGAGTAAGTTTATGTCAAATAACGATCAACCTGTAAATTGTCCTTTTGCGCGGATGCATTGCTGGTCTAACCAAAGCAAATTTGGTTATTTCAGTTATGTTTCCTGCGGCCGTTTGTGCCATCTGCGTCATTGTACGCAAGTCACTTATGTGATGAAAACGCACCAAAATAGTCATATGCTGGTGATTTCATTAATGAAAGAATACTATGTCGAAAATCCTCTCCATCTGAATATTTCAGAGGCAAACAAACGGGGACATTCCGTGTTACAAAGGGTGGACCCCTTCCATTTGCCGTTGACATAGTGGCACCGACCTTGAAGTATGGATTCAAATGTTTTATGAAGTATCCTGCTGGTATTCCTGACTATTTTAAGCAAGCATTTCCCGAGGGTCTAACATACGACAGGAAATTAACATTTGAAGATGGAGGGAGTGCCACGGCCACCGTGGAAATGAGGTGAGTATTTACTTACTATTTAACTGTTAATCAGCTTTTTTAACTTGCAGATTGGACAAAGATCTTTGAGTTATCGAAAACAACAACACTACACAAAGATTTGGGCTCGATGTGAAAAAGTGAAAATTCACGACGGATTCCCATGATGAATATCACCATGGAAGCATCAAAAGTGCAGTAATACGGCAAACCGCTTGCTTTTCAAAAATTAATTAGGCAACACTCAGTTTGTACAAATTGACCTAATTTTTTTACATTCGTTACTTTCTTCCTTTTAGGCTAATTTTTCTTTCAACATAGTAATCTAACCTGTTGATTTAGAGGTTTTTATTCCATTAAAATCTTTTTACCTCGTAAGGTGGATTCAAAATGTATGTTTTATTCATTTTGCGTTCTGAAATGCTTCCTACTTTGACAGCCTCAAAGGCAACACTCTTGTGCACAAGACCAATTTCCAAGGAGGCAACTTTCCCATCGACGGGCCTGTCATGCAAAACAAGACGCTTGGCTGGGAACCAACCTCGGAGAAAATGACTCCTTGTGATGGAACAATCAAGGGAGACACTATCATGTACCTTTTGGTCGAAGGAGGGAAAATGCTGAAATGTCGATATGAAAACAACTACAGGCTTGGCTTCGACTGCTGTGTACAGACTTGTATCTGACTTGATCTTAATGGGTTTCCCTCCCGAGTCCCCAAAAAGGCACCAACTGTTATGTAACTTTGCAGTATAAATTCAGTACATTGTTATGAAATTACGTACTAAGAAGCGGCGAACATAACTCATATATTCAGAAGCAGTGCACCCGACAGTTTAGAGTCACCTCCGAGGTTTGCACGTTTCTTCATTTGTCAAATTCGCTTAAATTTCCGAATTTTGTGATCATAACTTTTCAACAGCATCGGATTACAAAACTGCAAAGCTGGATAAATGTCCATTTGTAGACATTTCTCTGAAATTATTCTGATCGCTTACGATCATAATTACAACTCAAGCGCGCTGTTTGGAAACTGTCTTCATCTTTGTGGTTACCAGGGCGTCGGAGTAGGTGACTCAATATCTATACTTCCTATTTCAGCGAGAAATCACGGAGCACTCTTGATTTTTTTTTCCTCCAGGGCCAAGAAAGTGATACACGAGATGCCACCGAGCCATTTTGTGGATCTTCGCCTTGTAAAAACCAACCTTGATAAGGAAGGTTTGAAGTTTCAACTGGAAGAACATGCCGTGGCAAGAGTCCTCGAGGTTTGAGGATTACTGGGTTTGTCAGTATCAGTGTGAGTCTCTCTTGTACAAAAACATGAGATGAATAAAGAAGAGCGTTTTCAACCTCAATTGTTCGTCGGTTTTACATGTCTTTAAACTTTCGATTGATTATGAGGAGTTATGAAAGGAAACGAACCAAATCCCTGCTTTTATTATTCGTTGCTTGCAGAGAGTGCGTAAAGTTCGCTTCACAGTTGTCAAGGCCCAAATTTTTCCTACATTGACCTATGATGATTACTTAATTTTGATTTCAACTTTATTAATCATTCAAATCTGAAAGAAGATATTTGAGAATTGGTGTCAAAAAGAAAATTGCAGCTCAGCTATCCCAGAAAACACTTCACATTTCGACCTCCAAACACTTTCCTAAGAAAAAATAATGTGAGTTCTAGAAACTTAAAACTTCCTACACGTAAACACTAAATTGATTCATGTAGTTCTCCATGAATAAACTCTGCCCTTACTGGACTTATTGAGCGAGATGACCTGCATTGTTGAGCCAAGAATCGTATCACCTCAATAAAGTTAATTCACAAATTCCTCGCTTTGGCCAATAAGATTTTAAAATTTCGAACAAGACAAAAACCTCGAGTATGAAATATAGGATATTACATGGCCGCACGGAGATAAGAAGTTTGTCTTCCAGTCTTATTGCACGAGTATGCGAAAATGTTTTCTGAAACTCATTAATAATGCATAAGGCCTCATTTGAGTCACATGGATACTCCTTGATACCCGGTAAAGAACAGATCCAAACACGCGTGATTAGGAAGAAACTTAGAACTTCCTACACGTAAACACTAAATTGATTCATGTAGTTCTCCATGAATAGACTCTTCCCTTACTGGACCTATTGAGCGAGATTACCTCCATTATCGAACCAAGATTCGTATCACCTTAATAAAGTCAATTCGCAAATTCCTTGCTTTGGCCGATATGATTTTAAAATTTCGAGCAAGAGAAAGACTTCGAGTATGAAATAGAGGATATTACATGGCCGCACGGAGATAAAGAAGTTTGTCTTCTAGTCTTTCAAAATATTGCACGAGTATGCGAACCTGTTTTCTCAAACTCATTAATAATGCGTAAGGCCTCATTTGGTTCACATAGATACTCCTTGATACTCGGTAAAGAACAGATCCAAACACGCGTGATTAGATATCCAAACACACGTGTTAGGATATCCAAACACGCGTTAGGATATCCAGACACGTGTGTTTGGAAATCAATTTCCAAAAGATTGCAGTCCTTGAACAAATGTTTATTGACTTCCAGGATAAGAATAATCATTCTTTGCAGGTGACATTAACGTTTACATTGCAATTCAAGAACATTCCAGAATTCAGCTGATCTAACATTCCACGCACACTGCTTTCACCTTCCAAAAGTTCACTGCTAGTACTCGTGGTTTCCGTTACGCTACTAGAAGTGGAAGGTCCAAGTAGTTTAGACACTTTAAGATAGTGTCTCTGTAAGAGCGGTCCGGTCGATTTTGCTTGAAACACGGATTCATGTACTTATATTAAAACCACAATCCGTTTGATCGGATCTCTGTATTTTGCACAGTTTAACGGAAATTAAATTTCACTCGAGAGAGGCTTGTCGTGACACTTTCAAGACTTTAATTTAAGACAACTTTGGAGGAAAATTTACAAAAAACTACGGAACTCTTAAAGAAACAAATACCACAGCCATATATATTAACTCTATCTTATCTATCGAGGCGACTTTCGTGAACATCACGTTTCAGCCAAGCAAACAGGAAGACTTGAATGACACCTTTGACACCTTATCTGTTCGCTTAAGTCACACACGCGAAAACCGATCAGATTCAAGGTAAATTTTTGAAAAAGTGAGGCGTTCTTAACTGATCCAACTAGCATAGCTAGGAAGTAGGTGCCATAGAAAAGGTAGTTACGGAAAAAAAACTTTGCGGTCCGACCTTTCCGAAAACTTTATATCTCCGTCAACTTACCTAATTTTCGGCAATCTCCAAGTTTGGCTGCCATTTTGAGGGACTTGTAAACATGAAGCGTAGCCGATATAAATCAAGCAGGTAGATCTAAAACCGTCAGAAATACATTCAAATGAACTTTACTTTCAATTCAAGCGCAAAATTTGAAATTGTTCGTTAAACTTACCATTCCTACATTCCCATGCGACCATTTCTTCCAACAATTCAAACACTACAACTGGTGTTCGAGTTCCCCTCGTCGATTTCACCGTAAGAAATAACCTGTGCCACCCAAGCTTCGACTCGAATGCGAAGTACGAATCAAATTACATAACTGCTTCATATTCGAGGCAATATCACGCTGGTATTTTGATTTTCGGATCGACAAGAACGATGATCAGGAAGCGATCGCCACCTCATAAACCATGGAGACCTTTGACAAGCCGCTGAGTGAAAACAGTAGAGCACGGAGCGGGGTGGGTGGCGGGCTTATCGTCATAAGATACTCGAATACATGCTTAAAAAGCTTTAGGACTCCCATTCTAAACAGTGAAGGCAAAAAAAGAGTGAAATGTTTATTTCTCTATCTCAAGCTAAATACAACATTACAAATGGCTACCATACATAGTAACATCATTTGTCTTGACTTTGATACATTTAGTATTCCCTGTGATTGAATGTGAACACACCAATAGATTATTCATCTCGGTGCAATTTCGGTCATTTTTGAGACTAAGATATTTCGAATCATCTGAAAACTGTCAGAAAATTGTTAGAAAATTTGCATAAGATATGATGAGGAGAAACTTATCACCGCCGCAGTGCAATCGAGTCAATCAATGTTTCCTTCCATGTCTTGATGAAGAAAAACTCATAACAAAGTGCGAAATAAAATATTTAATGAAATCATTATGTCATAATTCCACCTTTCAAACAACTTATTATCCACACGTAAATCGTAACTTGTCACTTGAACGAAACTCCCCATGGTTAATATGTAATCTGGATTGCTTCATGTCCTTGAGGAAAAAGAACAGCGATTTCATCACCATTATTTTCCATACTTTTCTCCCGGATATCTTTTACAAGCTTAAAGATGAAAATAACGCATATCCCAGTGATTTACAAGAGAGGAAGTCAAAGGTCTCTTTAATTTTCCCCTGAGGTTGCCGGCTCATAAGGAAGAAAAAGGAGATCGCTCAGTCCAATAACGTTGGTCCATAGAGATTATCAAGCTATTAACTGAGAAGATTGTAACCTTTGGTTCATCAGTGACAGCATTAATTATTTCAAATCTGTATTTCTCGGTCCAAGCGGCACCAAAAATAGTTCCTTTGCAATTTTGTAAGCACTTTCTATAGCATCTTATTTTCAAGGGAAATTAATCTCAAGGCTCAAAGCCAATATAACTTTCGAGCACGTAAAAGACTCCCTGAAAAAGGCTAAATTTTTGGAAATTGATTGTGATGAAATCCCTGTTCCGTTTGCTATACTGCTGGGATACTGAGTAGTTCAAAATCTCCACTTGGTGTAGATTTTCGCGCGAGTCGTACAAATTGCTATTGTGGCGACTGGGTTTTACATGTAATACTGACGCTGACAAGTTGCGATTTCTGCTCTCAGATTCTCAATGTTTTCTTCTCTTTTCTTTTTTTTTTTTAGGTTGTTTTTACTTAGAATGGGCGGAAATCTGCTGATATATCGAAAAATGTCCAATTTTTCTTCTTCTTTGGGGCGACCGATGGAAATTTCGTGGAGAAATACAGAGTAACGCCATCGTGACAACATACATGTTTATAACAAATGACCGGTGTGAAGATAGTTTTGTGTAGATCCGCCGACTTCAACATATTTTAAATGACATACGAGTATAACAGTGTATCTTTAGAGGAATTAGGATTGCTCAAATTCCCATGAAAGAAGGTGCAGCACTTGGAATCTGGATGATATTCACACGATTTGAGGTATATGTTTGTATTTACGTCGAGTAGTCCTCCATGAAGGTTGATCAATTTTTTTTAAAAGATGACAACCAGAGGCGAAATTTCTCTTTGGTATATTGCCCATAAGATAACATTCTTTCAAAGCCTTGCATGTTTTTTATTTTTCTGAAGCATTTGTTGTTGAGAACATTAGATGTAAACATCGCCAAATTATGCCATACCTGATTTTTGAGCGTCGTTCGCGAATCGCCCCTATAAAAAGTAGAGACAGGTCCGCAGAGATTTTTACATATTTAAAAACTAGAATATTTAACCAGCTACGTGGGTAGTTTCAGTTCTAGAATCGGTGTACTTTTGGAGAAATTCAGATAAACGTTTTCCTTGTTTTACCCGACAACAAAAATGACCGAAACCGTACCGAGATGAATAATCTATTGGTGTGTTCACACTCACTCCCAGGGAAATTGAATGAATAAATGTGAAACCGAATGATGTTACTATTTATGGTAGAAGTGCCAATTTTTAATGTTGCATTTAGCTTGAGATAGAGAAATAAACAATTTACTCTTTTTTTGCGACGTTTTTGTATGAAAATGAGGCCCCAGGCCTCGAACAAGCACTCGTTGTTACCATGGCAACAAGAGTGCAGAGTGCCCAACTGCATGCAAAATTTGAAGGGGGATTGAAATTATTCATTTCCCAAGTTGTTTGATTCTTACAGAGACTTGTTCTTAATAGAGTTATCAACAAAATTTGCTCTACATAACGTCATTTTGCCTTGGATATCCCTTTAAAATATATTTTATAAACATGAACATCTGCGATAAATTTTCGCATTTTCACATATGTGGAGCCAAAATGTGTTTTGAGTGTAGTACATATGATGGACAATTCAAAGGCTTTAGGCAAAAGTAACTACGATGCCGCAAGAAAAATAATTCTGAGAGAAAAGTGTTTCTTCTCTCTATCGAGCACTTGTTTAATTTGACTCACTGACACATTTAATTGTAAATTATAAAAAAGAATTTAGCAAAGCAACAAACTGATGAGTATGATGTTAAAATTTTAAATTTTTGATATTAAAAAAGAACTAAAGGTGTGAAAAAACGGATCCCACCCCATGTTATATAATTTTACTCCGTGTACTATTATGTAACTGTAGGAGACTTAACCAAACCTTTCAGTCAAGTACGCGATGTATATTTTGCCTTGTTTTTTTCTCATAGAAATGTTTAAATGTAGCTCCATAGCACAGAGCCCTGACCAGAAATAAACAAAAAAAAAATTAATAACTACACAAAACCAACATTCAACTAAGGCTAAAATGGTGTTCTGTAATAGATTTTTTAGTAGCGTTCACGTGCAACCAAATTTGGGTATTCTATTAACTAGAGGATTTAAAATTGCGTCTATTAATTTGGCCACCTTGTATAAAAATATGGACCAGCTTAGGATCTATATGCTGTCCAAGACAGTTGATATACTAGCTATTAATGAGACTCGTCTTGACAGCTCTATTCAAAATGGTGAAGTCAATATTCCTGGATATACCCTTGAAAGGAAAGATAGAAATAGAAATGGGGGTGGTGTGGCCCTCTATATTAGGGACTTAATCAATTATAAGCGTCTCAATGACCTCCCGGATGATAACATAGAACTGATCAGTATCCAAGTGTCGAAGCCGAAAACAAAACCATTTATTGTATGCACTTGGTATAGGCCTCCAGGGTCCACCACTGAACTCATGAACAGATTTGAAGATGTACTGCAAAAATTGGACTCGTATCATATGGAGGTTGACATTATCGGTGACCTAAATTGTAATGTTGGTGCAACATCACCAGATTGCAGCACTCAAAAACTACTAGCTCTCTGTGATAATTACCAGTAAAGGCAATTAATTGATCAGTCGACACGTATAACACAGCTCACATCATCTATTATTGATTTGTTTTTAACTTATCATCCGTCGAATTTTTCGGACTCCGGAGTCGTCGATATCGGAATCAGTGATCACTGTCTTGTGTATGCAAGATTTATATCCCCAGATCAAATCCAAAGACTGTAACGAACAGATGCTTTAAAAATTTTATTCCAGATAGTTTTCGAACTGATTTATCTATGGTCCCGTGGCATCTGATTGAACAGGAGCATAATCCTGACACTGCTTGGGATATATGGCAACATATTTTGTTAGACATTGCTAATAGCCATGCACCACTAAAGAAGAAGAGAGTGAAAGGAATCTCTTCCCCCTTGGATTACTCGAGAGCTAAAAAGGCTAATGTTCAGAGAGATAAACTTAAAAAATTAGCCTCGAGGTTCCCAACAGATTGCAATTGGACTTCTTACAAACACATGAAGAATAAGGTTAATCATGACATTAAGAATGCTAAAATGAAATATTACAATGCCTTCTTCAAAGATAACCGCAGAAACATAAAGGCAACTTGGAAAGGAATTAATAGACTAATTGGAAATGAACCTAAATCTAATAAGATAACTCAGCTGGATACTGGGGATACTGTAAATACCGACCCCATCGAAATCAGTAATATACTCAACAAACATTTCTCCAAAATAGGACCTTCCTTAGCCTCTGAAATTAAAGACACATCCAGCAATTTTACTGATTATATTACCCCTGTAGGACACATTTTTAACTTGGCGAAAGTATCATGCTAAGAGGTCTTCAATTTAATTCAGAAAATACCCAGTAATAAAGCTAGTGGTCTTGATAACATCTCAGCGCGTCAGCTGAAAGAAGCATCTCCCACAGTTACTCGTAGTCTAACTTTTATAATAAATCAGTCAATTGCCACTGGAATATTTCCAAAAGCTTGGAAGCGAGCTAGAGTTTCGCCAATATTTAAAGAAGACCTCAGGACTGATCCTAACAACTACAGACCTATCTCAGTTCTGCCTGTAGTGAGTAAATTAATTTAGAGTTGTTTTTGATTAATTGTATGAATATTTAAATAATAATAACTTGTTAACTGAATCACAATCTGGCTTCAGACCTATGTTTTCTACTGAAACAGCTTTACTTGAGGCTACGAATGAATGGCTATGGAATATTGACAACAGTCTCTTAAACGGGGTGATATTCCTAGACCTGAAAAAAGCTTTTGATACCATGGATCATGCTATCCTTCTGGGAAAGCTTAAACTCTATGGGGTCAGTTCTCAATCTCTAAACTGGTTCCAGTCCTATCTATCTGATCGAAAGCAACAAACGTTCATTGATGGAGCTTAATCTGATTTCTGTAATATAACATGTGGCATTCCACAGGGGTCTATTTTAGGCCCTCTCTTATTCAATATTTATATTAATGATCTCCCTTCATGTGATTTGTTTTCAAAACCCAGATTGTATGCAGATGATACTACCCTTACCACATCTGCAGAAGACCCATGGGTCCTTGAATATAAAATGAATTATGATATGAATTTAATCCAGTCATGGCTGTCAGCAAACAAATTAACTTTAAATGTGAAGAAGACTAAATACATGCTTATAGGGAGCCAATTTAAGTTATCCCAAATAAATAGTGACTTCACAGTCAAAGTCAATAACACTCCCTTAGAAAGAGTAATTGAACATAAAACCCTTGGAGTTCAAATTGATGAATCTTTAAGCTGGCGCCCACACATTCATACCATTTCAAAGAAAATATCCGCTGGTATTGCTATCTTGAGGCGTGTAAGTAATTTTATACCACTTGATACTAGAGTGAATATGTATAATGCACTGGTGATGCCATATTTTAATTACTGTAGTGCCGTATGGGGTAATATCAATAAGGGACTAGCAGACAATCTTCAAAAGCTGCAGAATAGGGCTGCTAGAATTCTCACCTTTTCTAACTATGACGTTCGCTCAAGTGTTTTGTTGGATGAGCTTGGCTTGGAAAGGCTAGAACATGTAAGACTTAAACAGTTGGCTGCGACAATATATAAAATACATAATAATCTTTCCCCATCGTATCTGAGGCGGATCTTTACCAACACCTCAAATGTACACTCACACAATCTTAGAAATTCTGAGCTAAATTATTATGTCCCCAGACCCAGAACTGAGTCTGCAAAAGGGAGCCTACACTACAGAGGATCTGTTCTGTGGAATAGGATTCCTTCTGAGATTAAAAAACTTCCTAGTTTGAATGTTTTTAAAACTTCGTTTCATGGGAAAGATTTCTCTGATACACCATTTTAACTCTTATTATTCATGATATAAGTTTTTGTATTTTTAACATTATAGTAAATAGTTCCTTGTTACTCATGATATAAGTTTTTGTATGTTTAACATTATAGTCAATAGTTCTTAAAGTATTTTATTATAATTTAAACACGATTCCTAGGAAGACCATGTAAAATGATATGATTTCGTGTATAAATAAAGATTGATGATGATGATTCGCCTCACGTACGTGCGCTAGTCACGTCGATATTGACAATTCACAATGGTTGCGATTCCCTTGTAATCCTCAAACTTCTAAGATTCTTGCCACGGCATTCTCTTGCAGTTAAAACTTTCTTATCGTTGTTGGTCTTGACGAGGCGGAGATCCAAAAAATGGCTGTGTGGTGATAAAAAAAAATTAAGAACGATCCGTGATTTTCTTGTTGAAATGAGATGTGTAGATATTGAGTCTTCTACTTATGTTCTAAGCCCAGGTAACAGCTTCTTAAGAACGAGTCTCTGTAAGAATCAAACATCTTGGGAAATGAAAATTTTCAACCCCCCTTCAAATTTTGCATGCGGTTAGGCACTCAGCGGGGATGCACAAAAATACCCTTTTTAAAGGTCGCAGCACTATTGTTGCCATGGTAACAACGGCTGCTTATTCGGGGCCTGGGGCCACATTTTCATACAAAAACGTCGCAAAAAAAGAGTGAAATGTTTATTTCTCTATGTCAAGCTAAATACAACATTACAAATTGGCACCTCTACCATACATAGTAACATCATTCGTCTTCACTTTGGTTCATTCAATTTTCCTTGATAGTGAATGTGAACACACCAATAGATTATTCATCTCGGTACAGTTTCGGTCATTTTTGTTGTCGGGTAAAACAGGGAAAACGTTTATCTGAATTTCTCCAAAAGTACACCGATTCTGGAACTGAAACTACCCACCTAGCTGGTTATAATATTCTAGTTTTTAAATATGTTAAAATCTCTGCGGGCTTGCCTCTACTTTGTATAGGGGTAATTCGCGAAAAAAGCTCAAAATCAGATATTGCATAATCTGGCGATGTTTACATCTAATGTTCTCAACAACAAATGTTTCAGAAAAGTGAAACATGCACGGCTTTGGAAGAATGTTATCTTATGAGCAATATCCCGAAGAGAAATCTCGCCTCTGGTTGTCATCTTTTAAAAAAAATGATCAACCTTCATGAAGGACTACTCGACGTAACTACAAACATATACCTCAAATCGTGTGCATATCATCCAGATTCCGAGTGCTGCACCTTCTTTCATGGGAATTTGAGCAATCCGAAGTCCTCTGAAGATACACTGATATACTTGTATGTCATTTGAAACATGTTGAAGTCGGCTGATCTACACGAAAGTATCGTCACACCGGTCATTTGTCATAAACATGTACGTTGTCACGATGGCGTGACGCTGTATTTCTCCATGAAGTTTCCATCGGTCGCTCCAAAGAAGACAGGAAATGGATATTTTTCATATATTTCAGAAGATTTCCGCTTTCTGAAGTAAAGCAGCCAAAAAAAAAAAAAAAAGAGGAAAACCGTGACTTAACGCTCGTAAACATTGAGAATCTAAGAGTATAAATCGCAGCTTGTCAGCGGCAGTACTACATGTAAAACCCAATAGCAATTTGAACGACATAGGCATCTCCTTACAAAGAGCAGATTCGGGCAGTTATCATTTCCTTGTGACAGGAACTAAGATATTTCAAATCATCTGAAAACTGTCAGAAAACTGTTAGAAAATTTGCATAAGATATAACGAGGAGAGACTTATCACCGCCGCAGTCATATCGAGTCAATCAATGTTTCCTTCCATGTCTTGATAAAGAAAAAATCATAACAAAGTTCGAAATGAACGGATGTAATGAAATCATTATGTCATAATTCCTCTTTTCAAACAAGTTATTATCCACACGCAAATCGCAACTTGTCACTAGAACGAAACTCCCCATGGTTAATATGTAATCTGGATTGCCTCATGTCCTTCCGGCTCACAAGGAAGAAAAAGGAGATCGTTCGGTCCAATAAAGTTATTCTGAGATTATCAAGCTTATAACTTGAGAAGATTGTACCCTTTGGTTCATCAGTGACAGCATTAATTATTTTAAATCTGTATTTCTCGGTCCAAGCGACACCAAAAATGGTTCCTTTGTAATTTTGTAAGCACTTTATATAGCATTTTATTGTCAAGGGAAATAAATCTCAAGGCTCAAACCCAATATAACGTTCGAGCACGTGAAAGACTCCCTGAAAAAAGCTAAATTTTGGAAATTGATTGTGATGAAATCCCTGTTCCGTTTTCTGTACTGCGGGGATACTGAGTAGTTCAAAATCTCTACTTTGTGATGATTTTCGCGCGAGTCGTACAGATTGCTGTTGTGGCGACTGGGTTTTACATGTAGTACTGCCGCTGACAAGCTGCGATTTCTACTCTTAGATTCTCAGTGTTTTTGAGCGTTCAATTGAGGTTTTCTTTTTTGTGTTTTTGGTTAGTTTTACTTAGAATGCGCAGAAATCTGCTCATATTTCCAAAAATGTCCATTTCTCGTCTTCTTTGGGGCGATCGATGGAAACTTCATGGAGAAATACAGCGTCACGCCATCGTGACAACGTACATGTTTATGACAAATGACCGGTGTGACGATACTTTCGTGTAGAAAGTATATCAGTGTATCTTCAGAGGACTTCGGATTGCTCAAATTCCCATGAAAGAAGGTGCGGCACTCGGAATCTGGATGATATGCACACGATTTGAGGTATATGTTTGTAGTTACGTCGAGTAGTCCTTCATGAAGGTTGATCAATTTTTTTTAAAAGATGACAACCAGAGGCGAGATTTCTCTTCGGGATATTGCTCATAAGATAACATTCTTCCAAAGCCGTGCATTTTTCAACTTTCTGAAACATTTGTTGTTGAAAACATTAGATGTAAACATCGCCAAATTATGCAATATCTGATTTTGAGTTTTTTTTCGCGAATTGCCCTATACAAAGTAGAGGCAGGCCCGCAGAGATTTTTACATATTTAAAAACTAGAATATTATAACCAGCTAGGTGGGTAGTTTCAGTTCCAGAATCGGTATACTTTTGGAGAAATTCAGATAAACATTTTCCCTGTTTTACCCGACAACAAAAATGACCGAAACTGTACCGAGATGAATAATCTATTGGTGTGTTCACATTCACTATCAGGGAAAATTGAATGAACCAAAGTGAAGACGAATGATGTTACTATGTATGGTAGAGGTGCCAATTTGTAATGTTGTATTTAGCTTGACATAGAGAAATAAACATTTCACTCTTTTTTTGCGACGTTTTTGTATGAAAATGAGGCCCCAGGCCTCGAACAAGCAGCCGTTGTTACCATGGCAACAAGAATGCTGCGACCTTTAAAAAGGGTATTTTTGTGCATCCCCGCTGAGTGCCTAACTGCATGCAAAATTTGAATGGGGGTTGAAAATTTTTATTTCCCAAGATGTTTGATTCTTACAGAGACTTGTTCTTAACAGTGCGTTCAAGTTGAAATCATGATTGTAAGCAATCAAAATAAAATCTGAGAAGTGTCCACAACTGCAGCTTTATCAAGCTTGGCAATTATGTAATCCGACGCTATTGAAATTTGATCACAAAATTAGCGAATTCAGGCCAATGAAAGAACGAGCAAATCTCGGAGGCGACTTTCAACATTGGGATACACTGCTTCTTAATATATTTCGCCAACCCACAGTTTGTATTTCAACGATGCATATGTCACCCTAATAGAGGGTGACAGAGCAAACTAATGCTCGACTTAAAGAAACCGAAACCGCCTAAATGCACCACTACGTGCG